GTCATACTTTAGGAATAGCTGGCTTAATAGCACCTCAAAGAGGACTACATTTTCGAGGGGATTTCAGAAAGTATAATTTAAATCAATAAGGAACTAGTTACACTCACGCAGCAAGAATTTTTGGTATAGATTGTCCAGGCTTGTATAGTACCTAACTGATGTCCAGGAACCAGGCTTATTCTGTGTTCTTGTCTTGGCATCCATAGCTTATGTTACTCACCTCATGGCTCCAGGGTGGCTGCAGTGTCACCAGACATCATATCTATATTCTGGGTAAGAAGAATGAGGAAGGGCAAAATGCAAAGGACTCTCCCTTAGTAAGTCTTTGTCTTCTTAACCAGTAACTGAGATAAGTTCTTAATTCATTGCCTAGATGAGAAGATAAGCGTTTCAGCCTTTTAGCTGCTATATAGTCACATGATGCTAATGATGAGGATACATTCTGAGAAATGCATTGTTAGGCAATTTTGTAGCTGTAGGAATATCATAGAATGTACTTACATGAGCTGGTTGCAGTGGCTCATGCCTGTAATCCCAGCACTTTGGGAGGCTGAGTTGGCTGGATCAACTGAGGTCGGGAGTTCAAGACCAGCCTGACCAACACAATGAAACCCCATCTCTAGTAAAAATACGAAACAATTAGCCGGGCATGGTGGCGCATGCCTATAATCTCAGTTACTTGGGAGGCTTAGAGGAGAATCGCTTGAACCTGGGAGTCGGAGGTTGCAGTGAGCTGAGATTGTGCCATTGCACTCCAGCCTGCACAACAAGAGCAAATAGTACTATACTATAGTATGAACGCATAATGGTATTTGTGTATCTAAACATATCTTTGGCTGGGCATGGTGGCTTATGCCTAGAATCTCAGCACTTTGGGAGGCAGCAGAGGGAGAATTGCTTGAGCACAGGAGTTGAAGGCCTGCCTGGGCAACATAGTGAGACTCCCCCCCATTGCTACAAAAAATTTTTTAAAATTAGCTAGGCATGGTTGCATGCACCTGTACTGTAGTCTCAGCTATTTGGGAAGCTGAAGTGAGAGGATCACTTGAGCGTGGGAGGTGAGGCTGCAGTGAGCCACATTCACACTATAGCACTCCAGCGTGGGCAACAGAGTGAGACCCTGTCTCAAAAAAAAAAACAAAAAAAAACCCAAAACAAATACATATATCTAAATATGGAAAAGGTACAGTAAAAATATGGTGTTGTAATCTTTCTTTAAAAATTTTTAACTTTAGCTGGGCGCGGTGGCTCACGCCTGTAATCCCAGCACTTTGGGAGGCCGAGGCGGGTGGATCACGAGGTCAAGAGATCGAGACCATCCTGGTCAACATAGTGAAACCCCGTCTCTACTAAAAATACAAAACATTAGCTGGGCATGGTGGCGTGTGCCTGTAATCTCAGCTACTCAGGAGGCTGAGGCAGGAGAATTGCCTGAACCCAGGAGGCGGGGGTTGCGGTGAGCTGAGATCGTGCCATTGCGCTCCAGCCTGGGTAACAAGAGTGAAACTCTGTCTCAAAAAAAAAAAAAAAAAAAAATTTAACTTTTAGGTTCAGGAGTACATATGCAGTTACTTATGTAGGTAAACTCTTGTCATGAGAGTTTGATATATAGATTATTTCATCTCCCAGGTACTAAGCCTATTACCCAGTAGTTCTTTTTTCTGCTTCTCTCCCTCCTCCCATCCTCCACCCTCTGGTAGGCCCCAGTGTCTTTTGTTCCCCATTTTTTGTCCATGTGTTCTCATTAATACAGTGTTATAATCTCATGGCACCACCACTATTTATGCAGCTGATCATTAACCAAATATTATTATGCAGTACATGACAGTATTTGTGGTCATCAAAGGAAAAGGAGGATGGTGATAGCTTTATTTTTAAGCTTAGTAGAAGAGTCCCTCCGATTCCCAAGGCCCTTGTCATTCTGGCTCTTGATCTTGCAGGTGCTACGCATGATGGTCGGAGTAAATATTTCAGATGAGCAGCTGGGCAGCATCGCAGACAGGACCATTCAGGAGGCTGATCAGGATGGGGACAGTGCCATATCTTTCACAGAATTTGTTAAGGTTGGTCACTTATCTCTTTGGGTTTTTTTTGTTTGTTTTGTTTTGAGACAGTTTCGCTCTTGTTGCCCAGGCTGGAGTGCAATGGTTCGATCTCGGCTCACTGCATCCTCCGCCTCCCAGGTTCAAGGGAGTCTCCTGCCTCAGTGTCCTGAGTACCTGGGATTAGAGGCATGCACCACTACACCTGGCTAATTTTTGTATTTTTAGTAGAGATGGGGTTTCACCATGTTGGTCAGGCTGGTCTCAAACTCCTGACCTCGTGATATGCCCACCTCAGCTTCCCAAAGTACTGGGATTACAGGTGTGAGCCACCGTGGCCGGCCACTACTTTGTTTAAAAAGTTAAATTCCGGCCGGGCACGGTGGCTCATGCCTGTAATCCTAGCACTTTGGGAGGCCGAGGTGGGTGGATCACCTGAGGTCAGGAGTTCAAGACCAGCCTGGCCATTAGGGTGAAACCCCATCTTTATTTTTTATGAATTAAAAAAAAAAAAGAAAAAGAAAAAAACAGTTAAATTCCACTGAACAGGAGGGAGAAGGGAAAACATAACTCAGATAAGAGCTTGGGAGTGTTGTGACCTTTATAACCTTCATAACTGTCACTGGTTTTCTCCCACAGGTTTTGGAGAAGGTGGATGTAGAACAGAAAATGAGCATCCGATTTCTTCACTAAAGGACGGAGACCAAATTGTTCCTTGAGGTCTAGTATTTAAGAACTGGAACTTGAAAGTCCTCCTTCCACCAACCCCACCTCTCCCCCATCATTCACTTTCTCCCTAAGTACTACTGCTGTTGCATGACAACCCTGAATATGTTCTGTCAACACAAACCTGCCTTTGATGTACAAACGGGGCATTACAGAATGGTACACCCAGTCTATTTCTGTTCGGTATTATTCACTTGTTCTTCATTTATAAATATCATCTTCCCCATTCTGCTGCTGAATGCCACACGTCCATCCAGTCTGAGAAAGTGATAGAGGGACTCATGCCAAGAACAAGCCAGCAAAGCTCTTTCACTGGATGTAGACTGTAGCCCTGCTGTCTTCCCTCCAGCGAGCCTGCCAGCATGCTTTATCCTTTTTATATGGCCTTTGCTTCCTACTTCTGTGTCATCCAACATACTGTTCACTTAGTCTGGCAGTCTTTCTGCTTTTCATTAAGCCTCAAAATCTCCTCTGTTTTACTTGGCACCACAAGCTGTGCCCTATATACGTATTTCTGACTTGGCAGGATAGTTCAGGGGTCTGGTAGTTTTTATTTACCTTCATTATTAAATGGACCTCTGGGATGTTGCCTTTCCAGGAGCTTTTTGGTAACCAACACTTTTCTCAGAAGTATAAGATCATCCTCTGCACTCTGCTCTGTCATCAAAGGGCTGCTGGGCAGAGATACCCCTTCTTGAAAGGTGGCCTTGGTAGAGGTGTGGAGTCAAGTCTTCTAGTTTGCTTGCCCACATCACTCTACCTCTGTCCTCTGATTCTCAACTTTGTACCTCTGTGGCTCCTCTTGTTAATGCAGTGTTGACTGATCAAAAAATAGCAACACGCCTACAGGTTTGCTTAGTTTGGGGACACCGTTACCACCAGAATGGCTGCTCTGACAATATGCCTGGGAACTTTCTCATAGCTTTTTTTAACAAGGAGGCTGGGCACCCTGTAAAGCCTCATGCATTCACACCTTTGCAGCATGGTTTGTGCCTCAGTGTTATGTGCACTGGAATGTTTTTCACTTCACATTTCCAAGTAGAAAAATTAGTGTTACGAGCAAGGCATGGTGGCTCACGCCTGCAATCCCAACACTTTGGGAGGCTGAGGAGGGCATTTCACAGGTCAGGAGTTCAAGACCAGCCTGGCCAACATGGTGAAACTCCGTCTCTACTAAAAATACAAAAATTAGCTGGGTGTGGTGGCAGTCGCCTGTAATCCCAGCTACTCAGGAGGCTGAAGCAGGAGAATCACTTGAACCTGGGAGGCGGAGGATGCAGTGAGCCGAGACTGCACCATTGCACAATAGCCTGGGTGACAAAGCAAGACTCCGTCTCAAAAAATAAAAATAAAAAAAGAATGATTAGTGTTATGGAAGTGCCGAAGTTATCCTAGTCCAAAATATTTAAAGATTGTTTCCTCAGTGTCTTGAGGTTTTGCACAAAATT